AGCATAATTATGGTAGGAACAAATTTACCAAAACAAATCTTCACTTTATGAATGCTGGTAGCTGTCATCTCTAAAAATGTTTAAGATACAATACAGGAAGAGAATGAGACAGAAAACTTTTATATCTTGTTTAATACTCTAAAATTATCACCATCACTAAATAAGAAGGGACATGTGGAAGAAAAACAGGCAGTCATTTTTCTCTTGACACTATTTAAATCTGCTTGTACAGGTTTGTTTGTACCTGTACAAGAGATTTAACTTGTACAGGTACAACTTGCAGATTTAACTTGTGCAGGTAGTGAAAGATGCAGCAGCTTGAGCCTCATCTCATTTGGTGGAAAATTATGTTACCTTTCCCTCCAATCCCTTTTATTTTTTTCTTCTGAGTAGCATTGCACCTTCCCCAAATACGTGAGAAGGTGCATGTCCAATCACCCCAAAACAGGTAGAGGCCAGGAAGGTAGCAGCCACTCTGAACGCAGAGGTGCATGCCACCTTCCATGTTGCAGGATTAGCCGAGCCACCTGCTGTGTTTCATTTCAAAGAGCGCATCCTCAATCCTTCCATTTGGTAGGAGATATGGAAGACACTGGCTGGCAGCTCCTAATTTGCATCAGGTTTTATTAATTTTGGTTTGCTTCACAAGTCACCCCAGCAGTGAGGTGAGGAAAGCAACAGGTGCTATGGCCTGTGTCTACCCGGCCTCTGCCTGCTACAGGGCAGCAGAGTGGATCTGTGTCCGGTGAGAAGTGTCAAACTAAGAATAGGGATAAAAAGGAGAAACAGTAAGAGAAAACAGGGAGAAAACAGGAGACAATAAGAGTAGGAGAAAATCAGAGCAGGATGCCTCTTCCTCTATCTCTAGTTTCCTCACATTTCTATTTTCAAAGTCTGCTACCATGTATATAAAAAGCATGTTGGATGTTTTGGGGCCAATAAGCAGCACACCACAAGCAAACAGGAATGCTCTTATTCAGAGACATCAATGATATGATGCTGGGCATGGACCCTGAACTCATCTGCAGCATGATGGGCATCTTTCTGATGATATCCCACAGAGTAATCACAAATCATTCTGAGGTAACAAGACCCTCCTGGATTGCATTGCAGTCATTTGCAATCACTTGGCACAGCTAGAGTTTTTCTCCTCCTGGGTTGGAAACAGGACCTGAAATACCAGGGCCTACTGAAATACCTCATGGTCGACATCAATGATGGAAATGCAATTAATATTTCTGCCTGGTCTATAGTGACTCTGCTCTCCTAATGTAGTAAAATAGTTAGAAAACCAATGGCACATAAACACTTTCCAAGTGGCTGTCCTATTAAGGTTATGCAAGACCCAGGGCAGTCTTCTGTGACGTCAGCTCTGGCTCCTGGCCTGACACACAGTTACACAACAGGAAAAGGCAAGGGCAGAAAATGGAGATGCTCTGAAGTTATCAATTTTTTGAAATACAGTTTAAGCACATAGCTTCTGTTGCCATCACTGGGAAAACATCAGACAGGTAAACAGCAGCGGAGAGATTTATGGTGACACTTGGACATGGTGGTTTTTTTTCCTTTCCTATATATTATTCTTTATTCTTCTTTTCATGTATCTATCCTGATTTTGCCTCTCTGAGAGTCTTGGCAGGGGAGCAAAAAAAGCTCAAAAGTACATAGTTTATGACTGAGTAATGTTCTACTAAAGGCAGGGAATCTCTCTTTTTTTTTCATGGTTTCATTTTCATGGGTTTTTTCTTACTTTTTGCATAAGCTGTTAGCCTAGAAGTCCTACTGATATTTTTCATTCCTTCCACACTAGTTGATTTGTGCTGGTTGCAAGAAGCACGTAGTAGGGATTTGGCCCAGCACTAGGGGAGACCACAAGCAGGGAAAGGAAATGTCATGTCAAGTTGCACAGGAAAAGGAATCAACACAAACCTTTCTCCTCATTGCCCACTTAAGCCTACTGCATTATAGCAATGAATGCTGAACATACATGGAAGTGCATCTGCAGTGGAGAACTCTAGGTGCTGCCCTTGGAGGTTAAGTTCTGCTGGTCTCACTTCCCAGTGCTGTTTGGAGAGAGCAGGGACCTCATCTGGGAGAAATGGTCATTTCCTGCATTAGCCAGCCTTTTTGAATGCTATTTTGCCCTCTCTTTAAAACCATGTAGGTGACCCTGGCTGATGAGGAAGCTGCCCAGGATAAGAGGGGATTTTGTGCTTCTCAGAGCACAAACAAAACCCTGTGAAAGGTTTTCGTAATGCTCCTTGGGCGGACAAGGCTGTGTGAAGGAACTACGGATGCTCTTTATGGTGCTGGTGGGAGAGGTCTATGTGGGATGGGCACACAGCTGCTGGCCTCGCCTGCTGGGCTGCACAGCACAGCCGGCACAGAGGAGTGGGCTGGAGACCACAGGCAGGAGAACCAGGACGTGCAGCACCTGCAATCTGAGCAAGGGGAAAGACAGAGAAGAGGGTAGCATGCACAAATATCTGTTATCCAGCTATTGGACATACTAGCCAAAGGAAAGGCCTCCTCCCAGTTGTGGGAAATGCAAGCACAGAGAGCTCCCAAGGCCTTGAGTATACAAGCTCAGAGACAGAGATGGATACAGTGTTTGGCCTAAGGCCTTGGAGCTCTAGAATAGAATGATGAAACAGACACAAAGTAAGAATAAAGATTCATAGTTTAAGCAGAAATAAGTTTGAAACAAGTAAGTATAGGCCTCATATAAGTGAACAAATATATTAAGTAAGATAGTAGAAGATAGTAGAAAACAATTGAGTTTAACAATAGATCTTGTTGTAGGAAAAAAAAGGTAGAAGATACAGCAATAAGTTTCTGTAGGTGCTAATGAGTTATGTAAAAGTAGCTGATTGGATAAGAAATTTATAAAAAACTTTGTAACTAGAATTACAATGGCTTCCGATGCAAGGCTTCTAATGTGATAACTTTGCATGTAACAACCTTAGTCTCACCCTTCCATGAGACTGATTTTGCAATAAACGCCTCATCAGTTGACCCCATTTTTATGTATCCCGATCACCCAGTCAAAAGAGTTTTCTGGAAAACTCCCGATAGCCATAGAGACATATAGAGTCCAGGGCTTCCCTGTTCCTCCTCAAAAAACTCACAGACTGCTGCTTAATTCCCATATTTTTCCATTAGACTGTCTAAAGAGCTTGACTGTTCACTCAGTTGCTCAGTTAGGAGAGTGCATTTGCTTGACATGTTGGATCCCATCTACTTATATGTGCAGCTATCCTTTCTACTTACAACCAGTTTGGGCCTTCTCAGAATAAAGCTGTGAAACTTCAGACAAAACCAGTAGTTGGTAATGAAGGTTTGAATTGTAAGCACTGATAAAGTTCAGTCTGAAATAAACATTTTGTCTTCAATTTTCTGCTACAATTTTATGATACATACCAGCTTATATTAATTTATTTTAGTGGTATCTTGGAAGAAGACACCAGAGAAAAACCACTCAGCCAAGGATTTCTCTGTTGGTGAAGAAAATCACACATGAAGCACAAAACGACCTATTCTCTATGAAGTCAGAAAGAGCAAAACCTTGGATTTGAAAAACTCTGGAGTTTTGTGGAATGTTTGATCCTGATCTGACACACGTGACTCAAGTCTTTGTGGCCCATTGTATGTTGGGGTGATTTTTAATGAAGAAAATAAGCAGTAAATGCAGGTCTGAATGGTCAGGATCCCTGGAAGCCTATGCATTAAAATACAATAAACCAATTCAGAATACTGGTCTTTTTTCCTTTAGTTCCATGTTACACCCTCAGCATCTGCCTTAGCCATCCTTGGTAAGTTTTTTTTTTATGCAGGGTGTGTATTTTATATCCTGACTGCTTGGTACAAATATTTCATTCTCAGAACTGGGACACAACTATGGTTGCAATCCAACTACCACCTATTGTGGATTTCATGTGTCTGAACTTGTGACTGTCTACAAAAAAAAAATAAGCTTTTCTGTTCCGCCTCCGGTCCTCCCAATTCAGCTGGAATCATCATTCAGGGAAAAGTGACCTTCTCAGTGAAAAGCAGCTGTCTTTCTCCTAGTTTGTAAAAAGTCCCTGTATTTCTCTGAAGCAATACAAATTCCTTGCATTTTATAAAACACCCATTTCACTTGAAGTTAATGCTACCTCCAAATGATGTGTGTGTATGTGTATTCTCACGGCTTTGAAAGAAGCCCTTCACAACATGTGTTTGCATCAGAGATGCGACTGCTGGACTCCCATCTGAATGTTGCTATTCTCATCTCATCTCATCTCATCTCACATTTGCTTTGCCAGTCACTCTCAGATGTGACTTCCCAACCACAAGAAATTGTTTTGAGTTGGTATCAACCTAATTGATCTGTATTTTCTTTGTCTGAAATAAGATTTTAGTGCCAAAAGAAAGGAATGGATTTTATTGCTAGCTCTTCAGTTGCTATGGGGCAAAATTCAGACAGGACAGTACATTTTCACAGGTCAAAGTCCACAGGACAGTAAATTTTTTTCAGAATACTGGCTTTAGTCTGCCTTAACCTAAATCATCCTTGCTGTGCTTGGAAAGAACATGAATCAGGCCATCCAGTGCTAAAATGAGCCATCATGTCCTTACACCCAACTCTGTCAATCCTGGCACTATTTTGTCTAACCAGGTCTTTGATACCTCTGAATAGCTCTGGACTAGCTTGCTCCCCACTGCAAGCTAGTCTAGGTTCTGTCTGCTCTTGCAGTCCTCACTTTCTAGCCTGTATCTCTTCCAGATCACCTAAGATTCTCAGCTTCTGGGAAATTAGATGAGTTTGGCTCATATCAGTGAAGTTTCACCATTAAACATGCTTTGAAGATATGACCTAGTACTGTCAAAACTCAGTCCTTTCACTTCCCTCTTAATTTTTCTCTGTTCCTACCTTTTATCTCTTGATAGATTCACAATGTTCCTTCCACTCACTTTAACATCTAAGCAGTGTGAAAGTGCTGATGCTCACTCCTACATACCATCATCAGCATTCAGCTCCCTTCTTCTGTTCATATTTCTGAAACTTTCAGATCTTCATCTTCACACATGCCCACTGCAGCATTCTGCTTGGAATCTAAAAAACATATCAGACGTCAGACATATAAAGAAGTTTCTGAGATAATTTTCCAGCCCTGTCTTTCTGAGCAAATAAACCTTCATTTTGTGACCCTCGCCTGGCTTCCTGAGGTCAAATTTTCAGGAATTATCTTTAATACCACTCATATAGCAAAAGCTCTGGCAGTTCCTCTGTCATTATGTGTATCTACCGAAGTCTGTCATGACCTCAGTCTCTACTGCCCATTTGACCTGTTGCCAAAAGGGAAATTTTATGTTTTCTTCCCTTTGTCCTTTTTGAATACACAGCTCTTCAGAGGTGTCCTAGTTCTTCTGGAAAGAAGAAGGCTGGTCCTCCATGTGATTTCAGTCCTTTTTTTAAACCCTGCTCTGACTGCAAATGTCTAATTATAAACTATGAGGTACTACTATCTTTTTTAATTAATTTATTTGACAAGTTTGAACACAAATAAACCATAAATCATTGCCAAATGCCCAGGTGCACATGTGCTAACTTTTGCAAGAATTACTTCCCTATCACCCTTGCTTTAATTTTCCCCCTACTAATCTTCCAACTCCTCATTTATTAGTCATGAATCAGTAGAACAAACCACAAATGTAATATCATTCAGTATGTGTTTGCACAGACACATCTCTATTCTATTTCCCACCCCTGCTTAGACTGTTTTTTGTATTAGAAGCCCAGCATGGGCTGTTAGCTGACACTCCTACAGCCCCTGTATCTTGCAGTGATGTCTCTGGGATGTTCATGCTATGTGCTTCTAGGTTTAGCAGAGCAGAGTATGGCAGAGGTCTCATAGTCATGGTTCAAATTTTGTGCCACAGAAGTGGTGCACAGGCAGATTGTGCAGGGACCAGCAAGGCACCTCCTTGGTGAAATGGTTGCCTTTGTATTTTGACCTTTGTGTAAGATACAGAAAGATGAAGAATTCTTTCAAGTTTCATCTGAGGACAGCTGACAGCCTTGTTCCACCAGACAAGGAATGCTCTTAGCCATAGACTTTACAGTAGATACCTTTTTTTGCAGCCTAAATTTTCCCATCTTGGAGGCCTGCTATGGAGATTGTCTATTTGGTTGTTGTGAGGCTGATTGTTTATTTTGGACTTAGAGTAAATAAAAACATATTAATGTTCAGCAATTACACAGAACAGTTTACAGATAGCTGTTTGCAAATCATTTAAAGAAAATAGAAGTCAGAAGCTTGTTTGAAATTTAGTTTGTTCATAATTCACGTGGTCTCAAGGTCTTTTTAGATTTTGTTTTTGTTCATGTGACTGGTTTTTTTTGTCCTAGAGATAATTTTCCATAGTCTTGCTTCATCTAGTAGGCTCAGTGTCTATTGTTATACACTTCTTTTGTGAATCTACTGTAACCTGTATGCCTTCACTTTCTTACCTGCTCCAGAATTTCCTGCTCTTTCCTCTGATACAATTAATTGCTTCATCAAAAGAAACCTAATACCAATACCCTCCAATACTTGGTAAGTACCTTAACACAGAAAATTTTGAACATGTATAGAGGGAACCACAGTGAGGGTGATGCTTCAGTGTGAATATTTGCCTTCCGGGACTGCTGGGACAACAAGAGATTACAAAATGAACTAAAGCATTGGCAGTGTCAAATGCCATATAGAAAGAGTAGATGTGCTCAGTTATCTCCATTGAAGACACAATCAATCTTACGTTGCTACCTATCCATCTGAAAAAGCATCTCTGCAATACAGCCACAAGCAGTTAAACATCAATGAGGGCCAGACTTGCCCGTTCAACTCTTGCTGAATATATTCACAAGGCTATTGAAAATCTAATAAAAACACTTCTGCTGTGGGCCGTAAGAGACATGGAACTAGAGCAGAAAAACCCAAAAACTTCTTTCTGTTTTGTTCTACACCTGCAGAATCACTGGATATATGAATGAGAACAACATGTCCCCGCAGCATGGCCTGAGTGCAGGCATGGCTTGGGGCAGAGCCCAGCATGGCTGCCAAGCAGCCTCAAGCACCAGCGATCTCTGAGATCTGCTGCTCTCAGGGTGATAAAGACACGAAAATCTCCTTCCTCACACCTTCCCCACTTTTCTCAGAAGTAGGCCAGATCCACATAATTAAATAGACTGTCTCCCAGGAACATCAGCATTTACCTTGAAAACAGGGGAAATGAAAACTGTCACAAATACCTTGCTTTTTGTAGCACTGCTGAGAAAAACAAAAATAGGGAAGCAGAAGGACATTAAAATATAATTCCTTTTAGAATCATAGAATATCCTGAGTTGGAAGAAACCCACAAAAATAATAGATTTTACCTGCTAAACCTACACAGGACAACCAAACCCCAAAAAATTACACCGTTATTTTCTTCTTTGTAATCACCACCTGATGACAGCCATGAGTATTCCATGGATGATGATTTTCTCATCACGGTAGGAGGAAAAATACTCTGCAAGCAAACTAGATTTTCCTCAATTTCAGAAAAAAAATATGTTGTTACAAGCACAAAAACAGCAAAGAATATTTTCACCAGTGGTGTTTACTTTGAGGGGCCTTGACAAAAAAGAAATATTAGAGATCTTTTCCTCTGGAGCCTTCTCTTTAAAGAATAATGCTGAGCATGCTAAGATGGGTAGACAGACCATCATGTGTCTTATGTGGCATTAGATGGATTTGGATGAATTTGGGTGATATGTAGGCCTTCAAGTCCCTGGCTGGTAAGGATACAAGAATCAAAGGAATTTGATCCTTCATTTAAACAGTCAGATGGGAGAGAACTAGGGTGAACTTTAGTATTTCAAATATGACTCTGAGTTTGTTAAGAGGGCTTTATTTATGGTGACACTAAGAAGGTCAGAGAAACCAGAATAACACCTTGAAATTTTTTTCTGGGCTCTTTTCCTAATGTTCTTTATCCCCAGCTCTTCAATTTTGCAGGCAATTTGCACATCCCTTTAAATAAAAACTATCTAATGTTCAGAAAAAAACAAAATACCAGAAGTGACCAATAATCTAAACTATACCACCTCTTTATTCCAATGGAATATCTATTTATGCTACTTCAAATTTCTCACCTCTAATTTTTTAATTTTTTGTGGTGTTACAAAGCTTTGGAAATTGCACTGTAGTTTCTGAGGCTCATGTGGTGCAAAAAGATTTTTCGCTGAAATAGCTTTGATTGGAAGTAGTTAATTCTTTCTATAAAATCAATCAGAGCACTCACCAAAATGAGACAAATTCAGGAATTCCTTCTTTCACCTTGCTGTCATACAGAGCATAGACCTTGCACAGACCTTGTATCTTCTTGCCCTGCCAAATGCCTGCACGCCCATCATGCTTTCTAATGAGCTTTTAGGTGAAGAACACACTTTATGGTTATCATGTGTGAAATCAGAGCTCCAGATCCTTTGTGGTATGATGGAATGGACTCAGTCCTCACTGTCAGTTCTCCCAATTGCTTTGATAGACAATGAGGCTTGGAGTGCTTGGCTTATACCTTTTCACAGTGGTTTTGCAAAAGCTTAAAAAAAAAAGTAGTACAAATTTGTTATGGTTTTTTCACACACTTGAGTTCATATTTCAGTTCTTCTGTACATGTGTTCATATCATTTTTGACAACCAGCTACACAGCTGAAAATATTAAGCTGCTGAGTAATAAAAGTAAAAAGTCATCTACAGGTTAGGTCAAAGATCCTGCAAAAAGAATCAAATAAGCAAAAAAAATGACAGGCAGACACCACAGAGGAGGCCAAAACAGGCCAATCAGAATCACTAGCTTTGTCTTCTTAAAGCTTTTCATCCCAAGATATGTAAGTGCATCTGGTCTGCATTAGGGTATTGGAGTACTGCCTATGGATATAGGCCGTACACCTCAGAATACATTGAAGAATAAGGACCAGTGAGAGGTTATAAATGGTTCTTCATTCATGTATGGATCTTAAACCTAAAACAGGAACATTCTCATTTTCTCTTTGCTTGTCCATCTCTTTTTTTAACTCAGGTTTTCCATGGAAACGAAACTTTGCTGAGAACTAAGTATTTACAGAAATAAGCTCTATTTAATGTAAGGCAGAAGTTTCTCTATTATACCAGCTCTAACTCCGACACCCATGTTCATTTTTTTTGAGGAAATGACAATGGATGTAAAGACTCGCTTGCCCTAATGCATGGCTGACCTCTGCTTGTGCTCCTTTTCCTGGGAGGAGAAAGACAAACTGTTGCTTTTGACCTTTTCAATGAACCAGGAGAAACAAAGGGAGTTTAATATGATAAAGCAGCTGTGACACTCTGAAGAGAAGGGGTGGTTTGAGAGCAATGGAAGAAGAAATTTTGTCAAACCAGATGCAAGGCTGAGGGAGCTATACAAAGAGGATGGGAGTGGAGAGACGGCTGGGAGAAGAAAAGGTCCTTTGCTGTGTGGACCAAGTCTTGATTCCATAGGTCCCTGACTTGTTGAAATACAGCTTTTCTGTATACTTCTTCCAGACTGTTGTTAAAAGGTTTGAGTGGGAGAAATGACTGCAAATCCATCAGTCCTGCTGCTCAGATATTTTTATGAGCCTGGACTGTGTCTTCCAATATTTGAAGAGCTGTTGCCTTCACTCTAGGAGACAGACAATGTTACTGGAGAGGTGAAAGAGGGATTCTCTGATCTAGTGCATGCAAAGAGAGAGGATATTACTCATTGCTACTATGAAGCAGAGACATTTTTTGGAAAATAGTGTAGAGACTATGACCTACGCCATTCCCCTGAGTCTGAGGGCAGGAAGTAATCCAAGTATGATAGAATAACAGAATAATTTCTGTCCTTTGTTACTATCACAGAATGCTTTGGAGAGATGAAGAAGACAATTAAAATCTGAATGGATTTCCATTATTTTGCCCCTGGAACTGAAGTGCTTATAGACAGTAATATCTATCAAGCACTGTTTTCCCTCCTTCTTGCTGTCTTCCTCCACCACAATTTGTTTTTGTTTGTAAGAACAGATTGTTCTTCTGAGATGTCTCTGAA